AACCCGCAAATACTCTTCTTTAGAGGTATGTCCTTGTTTCAATTTCTGTAACATTTCCTTTATCTCCCCTATCACATCATGGAGTTCTCTGTTCATCCACATTGGCTTCTTGGATCCCTTCCCATGTTTCCTTCTTGTTGTAATAATGATGGCTTGAGCTTGCAAGAGCTCTTGTTTTAGGAGAGCCCACCCTTCACTTGCTCCTTTCCCTTCCAGCAGTCTTGCCCATGGAATGATTCTCATCATGCCTCTGAGTTTATTAAAGTCTGCCATAAAATCTAACATACACATATGGCTACGAACTTCCTTGGTCCCCAACAGCAAAAGGAATTCTAGCAGGACATAGTCACTTCCCCCTAAGGTCCCTACCACCTTCACCCCATCTACCATTTCTTGCCTGTTGGTCAATATTAACTCTAGTATGGCGGAACCCCTTGTAGCTTCCTCCATTTGTTGAAGAAGTTGTCATTCAGACAGGTCATTTCAGGAAACTATGTGACTGTGGACTCTTTGCAGAGTTTGTCTCCCAGCACACATCAGGGAAGTTAAAGTCACTCATAACTACCAGGTCATGTTGTTTGAATACCCTGTCATACCATTAACCAGAGTATCTGACAGGTTGACTTCATTTTCTCAGCAGGACTTGAAGACTTCATGGACATAGCCTTATTTATATGAACGATGAATGTCATATGAGAAACAAGGAACTCTTGATACATGTTTGTGTAACCAATGTCATTTTCACTTTAATATATTATTTTATTTCTATTAAAAGCTTTAGAATTTAGTGCCTAGGTAAGAAAAGGTCACAAAGCATGGGCAGTAAGTAATGTTGCTCCCCTACTACCCATGGCAGGAGCTCCACCCCCTCAGTCTGCCTTGCTGTAGAAGACAGACAGCCCAGAGCTTGACTGAGGGAGTTGCTAACTTCTTTGCAGGCCCAAGTCAGAAATAAAACATCAAGAGCAGAAACTGGAAGATGAGCCATTGAAGAACATATAGGAGGAAGAAGCCCTGCACTTTTTGAGTTTAAAATTTTGGAGTTCTTGTTTTTTGGTGTGACTGGGCAACCTTTGTTAGGACTTGCCTTTGTTCAAAGTGCCCTTTCCAAAGGGAACTGAAGAGCATGTCTGTGCGGATGCTGCTATATTCATAGCAACTATGATACAGTTATACATGAGGCAGTAAAGTTGTTGGGTTTTTTATGATGTTATCTTGATAACTATAATACCTCGGATGTTTTCTTTTTGAAGCAATTTTATAATTGTTTGAAAGCCACAAGGGTGCTGTCATTTATTGACTTGAAAATCCCCCCCCCCATTGGAAAAAGATAATTTAGGAGAGTTATTTTGGTAGCCAGGATTCTCCTGGGTTACCATCTGTATTATAACCACCACTAGTTATGAGTTATGCTATTGTATGTATTGTTTACCACGAACATGTGATAATGGAAATCCTCATCCCATGCCACACTCCCAGTAATTTTAATTACTGCAGTACTTAATTTTCTACACATTATGGCTCTCAATTTAATAACACTTGTGTTTGCTTACTAGGTAAAGGTAAAGGTTTCCCTTGCTCGAAAGCCAGTCGAATCTGACTCTAGGGTTGCAGTGCTCATCTCCGTTTCAAAGCTGAAGAGCCAGCGCTGTCTGAAGACATTTCCGTGGTCATGTGGCCGGCATGACTAAACACCAAGGCACACGGAACGCTGTTACCTTCCCACTGAAGTGGTACCTATTTATCTACTTGCAATTTCTTGCTTTTGAACTGCTAGGTTGGCAGGAGCTGGAACTAGAGACGGGAGCTCACTCCGTCATGCGGCACACTCGGGTCTCAAACTGTTGAACTACCGACCTTCCACAGCCTGCAGTTGAGTATCTTAACCACTTGAGCCACCGCAGCTCCTCCCGTTTGCTTAATACAAACTTATTATTACTAACATTTTTAAAAAATCTACTGTGCGCATTTTATAGCATGGAAAAGGCATGTTGGATCCAGGCAAACTACAAGCTGGTACACAGAAGATTGGCATCAGCTTTGGCAGATACTACATTTAGCATCTTTCTGCATGCTAGTAAATTAGCTCCAGAAATCAGTCTGGGTATTGTGAAGTGTGTGCGTGTGTGTGTTGCCTGTGTGTGAGAGATGCATACTCTCACATTGTAGCTTTGTGTGGGAGGAGATCCTTTTCTGTTATGCTTCTCTTGTAAAATGCTGTCCCTGGATTTTATGTGTCTTTTGAATTTGTGGGAGTGCATTTTGAAACTCATGTTAGTTAACACAGCCATTCAGTGGCACTGGAGTTGTTCAGATTCTAGTCCCAACAAGCCAGACGACCTGCGAAACTCGCGGGGGCAGGCGGAGCGGGGCGGCGGAGCTCTGCATTTAGCCGGCGAAGGAGCCAGGAGCAGGTAACGTTTCCCCCCCGATCCCATCGGTTCCTCCGTATCGCCCCCCCCCGCTCGATCTCCCCCCACCCGCCTCCTCACCCGGCTGGAAAGTGAGGTCCGCGCGGCTTGGAGC